AAATTTCTTTCAGATTGCTTGGTTCAATTGTCAACCCAATGTTGTTTTCTTTTTCTCTCTCTCTTAGGCGTTAATAAAGTTCAAAAGTCATCTGTACTTTGAAGAAAAAGATCACGTAGACAAGGCGGAAAAGGTACGAGTGACAAAACGTCAGCAGGCGTGATACGAAGACACAGCCGGTTAGGAGGAGGGGGGAGGCCTCCCTAGGTGACCGTCGTCCGATTTAAACTGAGCAATTTTATCAATTAACGTGTCAACTTTACCTGCATCTTTCTTAAGTAGAATATTTGTCAAATTCATATAATTAACGAATCGACAAGATCAGTCCCATGACTAATGTAAATGTTGTAGTTCAATTCTATACTTGGTTCAAATTTTATTTTCCTTTGTTCTCAGTCATGTTAATGTATGATAATGAGTTTGAAACAAAGGAAAATAAAATTTGAACCAAGGGTAAAATTGAACTACAACATAAACAGCAAATTAAAAGAAGAAACTCTCTGAAAGAATGATGTGTGAAAAAGTACACGAGATCAATGTATACAAAAACAGGAACAGGGAATGGATTTTGATGTGAGTCTGTTCTTTTGCAGAATCTGAAACCTGTGCCAGGAAGTCAGGTACGTTTTCAAGCGATCTGCTTCAGGAACTCGTCAACATACAAACGAACACTTAACTTCTTGCAGCCAGTTTGAAACCTCACAGAATGACTTCTCGCTGTCTAATGTTATATTTCTCCCTTTTTAGGTAAAATTCTACAAAAACGGTGTTTGTCAGGTGGGTTTAGTTGATAGAAGTAGAAGTATGTTGAAATAGTTATATTCTTCGTAGAGTGCATTATGATTCAGTGTCATAAAACTAAAACCAAAGTAATCATAACAGCCAATCAGAAGAAAGGAAAATATCCCAACGAGCCAATGAGAACTCCATGAAACAAGCAAACCGCCTAAAACGCGGGAAAGTACAAGTGACCAAATCGTGATCGGTTGGGAGGACGGTGCGAGTTTCCTGGACCAATCAGGAATGGACAAGAGATCAACTAAAGGGAACTGTGAAAACCAAAACCAGTGGTATCCCAGAGTACTTTCGATTCTCGATTACAAAAATACTCTAGTTTTGAAACAGTTTGTCTCCTCTTCACATTTAGGGAGTGGCGTGGCAGGAAATCTATGACGGAACCTACTATCCGGCCGTATCACTGTATAAAAATGCTACGGTAAATGCACCAACGTTCTTGCCTACGAATTATTCTCTATCAACTATAACGCGATTAATATCCCAAGTGTTTTCCTGTATTATCTATATTATTTATATCTTTATAGATCACCATCAATTTCGGACCTGATTTTAAATATCCACCAACGGATGAAGACTTCCAGCCGGTATGCAACAAAATACAGCTTAATATACTCACCTAAACCTCTACCCGTCATAACTTAGAATGTTTTTGTTTCCTTTAAGAGCGGAAGTAAAGTCTGTTCACGAGCCTAGTGGCCCATTAGGCCGGTGCTTAACTCCGGTTTCTGTAGCATGAAGCGACTAGGAGTATTTCTACTCCCCCCTGGATGGGATGCTAGTCCATCGCAGGGTTACCCCCAGCATTAAATTGCCGGTACCCATTTATACACCTGGTTGAAGAGAGGCACTGTGAGATTAAAGTGTCTTGCCTAAGAACACAACACAATGTCCCGGCCGGGGCTTGAACCCGTCCACTCGATCCGGTGTCGATCCGGAGTCGATCCGGAGTCGAGCGCACTAACCATGAGGCCACTGCGCCTCCTTTAAGAGAGGAAACCATTTGCAAAACTTTTTTTTTCAGGGAAGAATTCTTAGAAATTTGTCTTTTCTCAGGGGCTAAAAAAGACAACAATGTTTGTTTTATCTTTTGCCCATTTCGTTCCTGGAGCTTCTTTTCAAAATTGGAGGGAAACATACCTAAACGGTTTTTCAATATTTGCACGGTATCAAAAGCTTTCACTCCCGGAATACTTCGAGTTGTACAGGGAACTGTATGCGTTCATCATTTGCCTGACCGTAAACGGGAACCTGTTCGTAGGCTAAAACCGGTAAGAAATAATGACATGCGCATGAAAAGCCTCTCGCTATGGGAAAGTACACGTAAAAGAGAGTACTCCATGTGGTTTGTCACCAAAAAAAACGTTTACTGAACCCTTCATCTTTTTTTCCCTTTTAACGGTAGATGAGCTATAAAGCTATGGAATTTGCTGTGGAGCAGAGTTTATCAGACCTGTTGTCCCATGTGGATTCACAAGACAGACCCGTTCCAATCCCCGAGAAAATCCTCATTCCTCCAAAGAGGAAGTGACGTATTTCCCACCTTCTACCGCTGACAGCTTCAGTTTTGCTACGTCACTTCCGCCAAATGCTTTGAAGTGTTTTCCAAAAGTAAAAGTCAGAAACCAATCTTAAGAGTTGGTGGTGCAAGGATTTGACCGCCAGAAAGCGGCTTACGTTGGTCTTGCAATGTACTTGCTGGAAAAGTCCAAAGTCGTTGTTCAAGTATACGTGTAAAGGTTATGTCCGCTTTTTCAAATCCTCTCAAGGATTTTGTGCATCATTTATGAACCAGAAAGATAACGAGAAACGATGCACTTTCTTTTTTTGTGTGTGTGTGTTTTGAATAAGATAAGTATTTCGTACGCAATATTAAACATGTAAATAAGTTGATAGACTAACTCCGAAACTGAGTCACGTATGTCGCCGTATTTAGCAGAAACGATAGTGTTCAAAAGGTTTGTGAACCATTGCCATTTTCAATTGAATGGACTTCTATATCCTTCTCTTCCAATAATCTTTTTTTACTGGCTTTTTGAGACACGCGGTCGTGATTACTCGGCGCATTATTCAGTTTAGCCAAACCAGCAATCATTTGTACCATAGGATTCAGCTTTAAGTGAGCTTTTTTACATGTTATACCATGCGCGTAAATAAGATCTTTCTTTATCTAGTAAAACAAATTTTCTCTGGAGCTGAGTTTTCCTATCACTGAACTACCAATTTTGTCCATTGTATTGTCTTCCTTAACTATTACAGACGGGTTGATATGTCGATAAGAAAGTGCTCGAAAACGATTGCCTCTCAGAAACGGTTTTTTTCCACAAGAGGGCAAGTTAACGGATCCTGAAATCTGATTGGTTCTTAGCGCGGTTCAGCTTTTTCTATCTTTGCCCACTATAACGGTAACGCTTTCGTGAGTTTTTTTCCCATTTGTTTACAAGAGAGGAGGGAAGTGCAAAATGCTTAAGCGCAAAAAAAGCAAAGTTATTTTAAAAGTGGATGATTCTTCTCAGACAAGAAAGTTGAAACAATATTAAGGTAACATTCTTCTTCTCTGAAACATATTTAAGCTGTCTTACTCTACCGTATTCGCGTGATGTCTGTGTGTGAGTGTGTGTGTGCGTGTGTGTGTGTTTGTGTGTGTGTGTGTGTGTGTGTGAGTGTGAGTGTGAGTATGTGTTTATTAAAAGATAATACAAGAGAAAAAAAAGAGTATAGTACAGCTTGGTAATAAAATCCAGCCAATTAATTTAAAGACATGAATATGTTATATGTGCACTGCGGTCTTGAGAAATGTATATGAAAGCGATCCTTACAGTAATGAACACTACTCATGTAGTAGTGAAAATAACTGAAATAAATTCCGGCATGTTGTAACGAACGCACCGGTAATATCACTCAATGGCTATCCCAACCATATACGTTTATTTCTCGACCAGTGGTTTCTATAACAAATTTAAATTACACTAAGTCTAACTACGGAAAATAAATGGCATGAACAAAATAATAATCGATATAAACGCGGGGAAATGAAAACAAAACACACCTGACGGTTTGGATCATGAAATAACGCGAGACGCATCTTAAGGACAAACAACACTAAACTACGTAACAAAGAAGCTTTTACTCGCGAACACTACAATATATATGTCGACGGGAGGGGACTGAACCCCACCACGTGAACGGACCGCTGGCCCCAAATTCGTTGTAACACATGTAGTCTAGCGAAAATAAAGCAGAGGTCGTGTTTAAATCCCGTACAGGCCTGAATTTTTTTTTAGACCTTATTTTCACAACCACATATTAAGTACTGTTCATTGCTGCGAGGATCGCTTTCACATACAAAATCCAACCATTCTCAAACATTTACGTCCAAAGTGCAAGACAGTTTTTGTTGTGGTTGTGTTTCATGTTTTTTCTACACACAATTTACTGCGGCTGCGTCATTAGTTTAACAGATAGGATGTTGCATATATACCGCCACTGACAAAGCACCGCATCAAAAGCAAAAAAAAAAAGGACCAGAATCATTACAGAAATCAGGTTGTAACAAATTTTGTCGTTTTCGAGTACTCGGTGAAAATGATGGCGGCCGCGAGCCTAGCCCGCGATTCTCCTTCCCATTCTTCTCGTGGCTTCACCGCTCAACGCACTCACAAAAACAGCAGGCAACACAGGCTTATCAAACAAGAATTTATTGGAATGGACTTTTCTTCAGGAAACCGAAAAGTGGCCGACCTAGCTGTAAGAGAAGGCATTGGGAGTCGTAGCTTCAGACCAAAAGCAAGCAGGAATCTAGAACTTACGGCTGGAAAAAGAAACACATGTTGTAGAATCATTTCACTGGTTTCCTTTTCTTTAATTCCAAATCCTACTAAATCTCTAGTTAAGTGTCAAAAACTAATCCTAGTTGACTACGCTCGGCGTAGTCAACTAGTCCATATCCTTTTTCAGATTCAAATCAATAGCGACTTTGTCAGCCGTGTTTTCCCGCACTTCAGGAAGTGCTAGTCTCCTTCGCAGCTGTTTTATGGAATGTCGCGTAACACTACTCCCCCCCACCCTATTTTTCGGAGGAGGGAGCATTTGTAGTGCCTTGCAAAGGAGACGTAAACCTTTTTCTTTTTTGAGGGGCTGTTGTGATTTCAATGGTTTGGCTTTACGGCACTCACGGTTTATCAGTAAAACCACACTTCACATGCTGCTGTTATATACTAGGAGTTTAATCTCTGAACGAATACACCAACTTACATTAGTGACGTTTAAAATAATACGCGAACAAGATGATAGCCGGTTAGTGATTCACCGGCTACAGAAAGTGTTGGTGAATTTTCTCATAAAATATCAAACAGTATGTTGAAAAATATATACACCAAAGTGATAAGTCTGGAAAAACATTCGATAAAGATACACCATATAAACTCTGGCAGTTTGCTACATCTCGTTAAAACCCCGGCGAGGCCGTTTTTACTAAAAGCTTTTTAAATCCCTTTACACAAGCCTTCAACACATGGATTATAAAACTTCTCTACACCCGGTTAGAAATAGTTCACTACATAACGGAACACTTCGAGTCCTGTTTTTGGAGGAACGAGGATTCGTATGTATAATTATACTCATCTGATTTACTGACTACCTTTGTTGGTAAACACTAAAAATAGCTAAAAGCTAAAAATTAAAATTTTGCCCTTAACTAGCCTGCTGAATGCTAAGAACTACTTGATAATCATTTTAGTTTAATGGCAACCAACCAAACATGGTGAAACGAGGGCCACTTGCAAAGAACGAACACTGCTTCTGACCAGAAATAATCGAAGAATGTCGTCCGTCCTCGATTACGTCCAATTAACAGAGCTACTATATCCATCGCTACTTTTACTGTGTATGAAAAGGCCCGTCGTCCATTTTAGCACTGAATTCACTCAGTTAATAGTGATATCTAGTAAAAAATGTTCAACTACTCGACACTTCACGGGTCAAAATGCAAGCAGCGAGCTCCTTAACAGCTCGAGTTAACTTGAGCCACACTCGTTTACCTTTCAAAATTTTCTCAGCCCAGAAAGAGGGAGATCGTTGTTTGCAAAAGCGGAGACGTTGAGTACAGCTAGTTATGCTGACCAAACAAATCACTGCCCTTTGACAACGCTTAAAGGAAGCCGATCAAAAGCCTCACGTGGTTGAAAACCGCCAAACAAAATTGGCATCTTTCACATTTTTTGAAATTTCGTATTTCTCTTCAAGCGCGATTTGCGGCATAAAAGGAATTTCTGTAACTTAAAAAATCACCGTCGCCCTGAAAAAATTTCTAATGAAAAGTTTAGGTGGTCCAAAGTAAACCTAACTTCTAGCTTCCCCCATCACAATGCATGGCGATTTCATTTGCTTACCTTCGTTATCTCGTAAGTTTGTGAAGTTTCTTCATTATCGTTTCACATACTCAGCTTAATGATTTAGAACAAATGGTCAACTTGAAAAGAGTATTGTGGATAACAAAAACTAACGAACAAGTTGCGTAAAAACACTAACAGTAAAAACGAGAAAAAAATATTGCCCAGGGATGTGTCTTGGACCAAATTCTACGCTGTGAAGTTACAGCTGAAGCGCAAGTGCAAGAATAAAAATGTTGTTGAGGATAGTCTGAATGCCCTAGTTTTGTCATGTATATAAACCTTATTGTCATTACCCTCGTAAGGACTGCTTGTTACCAATCAAGGTACAAGCATTATGCCGTCAAAAGATGAACGGATGCTTGAGAACTTATCATAAATAAATTTTAACGCTCTAGAGGCAAACAACTTTTTTCATCTATACACTTTCGCTCTACTTACAACAAGAGGACATAGTGAAAATCATCAACCAACTGCAGAGCTGAATTTGACACACTTCTGTTTCACAACCGTTCCATGACATATTTTCTTCCTCAGGCTGGAATTCAGGACTAGTAGCTTGGAAGGCATCTGCTCCAACTGCAGTCTCCAAGATTGAGCAAATCGACAATAAAGGTACTTCTTAGTTTTGGCTTGAGATTACATTGGTTATGCTGCTCAACAGTACCTGTTGTCGTTTGAGCAAAAGTCCAGGAAGGTAATTATTTCACTATCGTCTTATAAATTTCAGTTCAAGTCTACCACATAATGAACGGCCTCCTGGCCTTTTCTTGATTCTTGAATATGCGTCAGTTGTTTTCCCTTAGCAAAAGTTGAACTGCAGTTATGATTTACTTTGCTTTGCCTGCAAACGAAGGCAAATTAACAAATTCGAACCTGTAAAACATTCCAGCTCTAAATTCTCATCATTTGTCACACAATTACTGTTCTCGTCCTTTAGAACAACTGGTTTTTCGATCTCTTCCATGAAAACCCCTTTCAAGTATACAAACAGAAATCACTTTGTGTCACTGTTCTTCATTGCTCGGGATTCCTTGTCTGAGAAACAGTTCATGACACGAAAATCAACGAATGTCGCGTCTCAAACCAAAGCAAGCTTGGACTAAAGGCCTGAGTCCCTATTTGGAGGGTACACGGGAAGAGAGGCCCTTCCTAAGTACATGTTCGGTGTCAACTGCGAGTTGTAGAATGCTCCAGGGTGCTGTATGTGACTAGGATATTGGTACTGTGGCTGACCAAACATTGGAGGGTACTTATTTGACGGGAAATATAGCCCACTGTACTGAGGCATGGGCTGTTCAGATAATTGTGATGGAGGAATGGTACTTTTATCCAAAGGAGGCTGGCTTGGTGCTGTTAAGCTTTCCACTGAAAATGACTTGGATCCTGGAATGGAGACGGAAGAAGATGTTGCATATGGACTGTGCGGATTGTGTGAGGTTTGACCGACCGGTCTCAAAAATGGGCTCTTGTTTGGAGGTGCATTGCTATAGTGAGAGCCAGCGCTAGGCGCATGCTCAGTAGGCGAGTGTAAAGGGCTGTGGTGATTACCAGGTGCACCAAATGCAGGCGACTTGCTTTCTTCAAGCTTACGACCATCCAAAGGTGAATGAGATTGATTATAGTTACCCATGACGGATGTGTAAGGATTCTGCATTCCGTGCGGGAGTGTCTTTGGAGAAAGTTCAATAAATCCTGGCCGGGTTTTAGAGTTAATCTGCCTGTCGTCACCTTGCAGCATATTTTGATGCTGTTGTGGTTGAACAGGGTAACTAGCCATTCCTGGACCACTCATGCTACCCTGAGGATGAGACGGTGAGAATGGCGGCTTGCTTGGTTCGTTGGGTGATGGGCCGGGAAATCTCGGAGTCTGGGGCGTTAAAGGAGTCTGGGGAGTGTGCGGAGACCCTGTACTTGTTGGAGAAGGCACAGGACTGTTCTTTGGATGCCTGGAGTCTGGTGCTCTCCCTCCTGGGTAAGGAGGAGGAGGAGACCGTACTCCTGCTCCCAAAGGATCTGACGAAGGAGAATTCGAGTTTCCTTGTGTTTGAATTCCTCCGAGGTGCCTTGGCCTCTGGAAGTATCCCTGCTGTTGCGAACCTTGCTGCTGACTAAATGCTGGAAAGTGGGATTGTTGCACTTGCCCACGCATTTCCTGAGGCCGCCTTTCCATAAAAGAACCCTGATGTTGAGATGCTCCACTTCGTGGGTAGCCACTGTAAGGAGACTGTTCCCCTCCTAGTGCTCCCTGTTGATTAAAACTACTTCTGGCGTACATTCCATTCATCCCTGTCACTGTACTCTGATTGCCACTGCTTTGCGAATTTCCAAAGAGCAACTGATGAATGTCCTCCATAGCTTGCGACTGGGTCTGTAGTCTTTGTCTATCCTTAAAGAGAGGCTGCTGTGACTGTTGCTGCATATGTTCCCACTGTGACGCTCCATAACCCGGTCGTGCATTCACTTGAGAACCCGGAATTCCTGAATAACCTGACATGACGGGGCCACCAGAACCCGTCATGGGGTACTGCTGGGGATAAAATGACTTTTGTTTACCAAACATGTTCACTGAGTTCGTTTGTTCCAGTTTAAGAAACGGCGAGCTTGATGGTTGCGCCCTGTGGTAGGCTGTGATATTTTCTACTCGACCCATATGCACGGCCTCTGCAGCTCTGTTCGCAATACTAGTAGAAAACACGTATATTCTATTGGGTGGTTCAGGCATTTCTACTGGCCTGGGCACTTTTTGCTTTCTGCGACGCCTGGGTCCATCTGAACCATCGGAATCTATGGATTGAAGACAAGTACTGAACACACCATCATAGAAGTATTTCCTAACAGCTAATTCACGCTCACGATTGCGTTCTAGCCTCTTCGAATTTTTCAAATCTTTGTCAGTGGTGGTATGATAAAATATTTACTAATTGAATTAGGTCGGGCCGGATGGGATAATATTGGGCTTTCTGTCACGACCTCGAGGAAAATATTTTCCCGTCCGGCCCTTCCACGTTATAGTTTTAGTATTCAACCGTGAATAGACCCATGTAAGCTATTCTTTCTTTCTTACTTTGACAGAGAGCGGGTGAACAGGTACGGTTAATACACCATACGACCAGCGAAAAACAGAAACAAAAAAAAAAAAAACAAATAAAATAAGCTTGTCAAATCTTCAAAAAACAAATGGCTTAGAAAAAGAATTCCACAAACTATAATACAATACACAATACGCGTCTTGGTAAGAAGGCGTTTCAACGTTTCCCTATTATGTCACTCTGTTTGCAATACCCTTCGTTGAGCAACGCTTCTTTACCAACAACAAAACAGAGGGAAGTGCGTTCAAAGATGTAAGAAGAAATTTAGCCTCCTTGGCAGCCGTTGTTTGGTCCTACCACACATCGCATTGTGGGCAAAGAGCTCATTGAGCTATTACATCAAACAATGGCTGTGAAGGAGACTAGAAAAAACGACAAACTCAGTTTCATTCTGTTAAAAAATCAATAGATTGAAGCTTAAGGTAATCTTTACCTATATCTTTTTCATTGTCTTCCTCTGACTCGGACCCAAGCCCCTCCTCCTCCCACCATTCCTTCTTTTTATTCATCTGTTCTCGCATGATCACACAGCGGCGTTTGGTCCTGGAGTCCACTCCAGCGGCACTAATGAAAGATTCTTGTTTCTGGATTTCTTCTTCCACACGCCGCTCTAGTTCCTTCCGTTCCTATCATTAGAGGACATTTGGTTAAATACCCTCGCGGACCTCAAGTTACACGTTTGCATTTATTGTCTATACTGTGAAAGGGTGCGCAGTATATTTGCTATTTAAACTAAATAGTACACCTGCAAGCTATCAGTAAAATATGCTTGACTTTTGGAGACAAAATAAAAAGTATAAAGTTACAAAAGCAAAAATCGGATAGGTGATGGAGGATCGTCTGTTGCTATTTGTTTCTTTTCACAATTAATGTGAACTCAATCAACCGAGCTTCTTTGCAATATCCTGCGCCATTTTTATTGTAGTGCAAAATACCTTCAACGTGAAGATTTCAAAATATTTACTATGCACTTTAGAAAAACCCAGGAGTCAAGAATGACGACAAAGGGAACAATTCAGCTGGAGTTTTTTCTCAATGAAAAAAAAAAAAAACAAACAAAAAAAACGCGAAGTACTTCTTTCTTCCTCTGACTTGTGTGAAACGTTTTATTCGACGCTTTGCATAAGTAAGCCCTTAGAGTGAGACGGTAAGCTTACTAAAACAAAAATTCGATTTAACGGCAATGTAAAGAGTACCTCCATATCCTTCTCGACTCTCTCTTCGAGTTCACTTTTTTTCCTTCTTCTCTCGGCCCGTTCAGTAGGTTTGTTCTCTTCCATATTACCCAGATCTCTCTTGTTGGCTGGCGGTCGCCCGCGCCTCCTTTGCGTTCCCTGTTCAGGTGCTGGTCTCTTCCTCTTCTTCCTCGGCTGAGGAGAGTCTTCCTCGTCAAGCTCAAGTTCTTGCTCAGCGTCCGAAATGTCGTCCTCGTCCTGGTCTTCTTCCGCGGTGTCGTCTTCCTGTTCCTCTTGGTCTTCCTGAGCACTGAGGTCGTCCTCTTCTTCTAGCTTGTTTCCCTGCAGACAAAGAGGATCCGAGCACTAGCAGGTTCAGATTCACTTCAAACTTAGGTAGAGTGAATTCGTTGGCAAGTTGAGCCTTATGTTTGATTCAAGTGTGTTCTAGGCGCCCTGCACAGCTGACATAGGTAAATGTAAAAAGAACCGCGTACATGGAAGAACAGCGATGACAGATACAAAGATGACAAACGTAAAGAGAAATACGACTGTTTTTACAGATCATATTAGGTGCAATGCTACAGGTTAAAAGCAAATCAAAGACTAACAGCAAATCACTGACCGAGGTCCGGTTTTTTTTTCTTTCTCCAGTTTCGATATTGAAGTGTGTTGTGGGCCGTTAGTGGCCCACAATGTAGGAGCTATTACAATTTGAGTGAAGCGAAAGGAAGACCTACTTAAACATAGTATTGCGAATCTCCTCTGAATGCAGCTTAACAAAGCCCTTAGAGACTTTTCTATAGTGCTAAAGTGGTTTTTAACCCTTTCACACTCCGCAGAAAGGTAGCCTGCCATCAGAAAATGTACGTCTCCGATCTACAGTCCACTCCGTAACATCTCACGGGGCTGCACACGGAGACTCAATGTGTTTCGCTCAAAAGATAAACTACCATCCAGAGAAAAGAATTAAGAAAAACTAACTACAGTGTACATTAGCCATAGGATAGAGATTTCTCTCCAAGCCAGTTAGCATTGTCCTTCAGACAAAACATATGTGACAGCAGCCCATTTTACAGTGACAGTCATAGATACTAGTAACTGTAGCAGGTCTCACATTACCTTTAATCTCTCCACTTTGTCTTCTTTTCCAACTACTGCATCTTTATCTGCTTTTTGTTTAGCAGCCACCTGCAATATTCACAGATGATATTTCATTCAAACTGAACTTCTCATAAGACTTGACACAAGTTTTTCTCCAAGCAATTTTCAGTTAAACATTGAAAGAGAAACTTGTACAACCCTCTCAGCTAATAAGATGCAAAACTTGTACAACCCTCTCAGCTAATAAGATGCAAAACTTGTACAACCCTCTCAGCTAATAAGATGCAAAACTTGTACAACCCTCTCAGCTAATAAGATGCAAAACTTTCAGCAAATTATTTTATCTCCTTTCCGAACTGCATGTTATTCCTCCAGTCAAGTGCTGTTAACTAACAGGAATACCTTCTGATTTGCCTTGGAAGACCTGTCCTTCTTCAAAGTCTCCAGTTCCTTTTCTTTCTCATCCTTCCACAGAAATATAACAAACACCTTTTAAAAAGTTGCACTAACAGGAGAAGTGAGTGCATCTTCAAAAAATACTTTATCAGCGAAAAATTAATGTTAAAACTTCAAAAATCAATGATGATTCTCTTTAAGAAGGTCTTGTATGCGAGATATTTTGTTTATTATACCAGGGTTGCACTAAATTGGACACATAAAACTTGATTAATTCAAATGTTGACCTTTTGGAGTATTTGATGAAAGGAAATAAGTTTGTTTAAATATAACACGTGAAACATTCTGTATTTGAACTGGTCCTTAGTTCTCGTCACTAAAAGTAAAGATGTTGGATACAATTGATAAATTAGTAAATAATTTATTCCAAAACCCCACAGTGCCTTTTTTTCACAAAAGGATAAGTTTGAATAATCAACTGTGATGTTGGATTAATTGTCTAACTTTATTGCTTGGATTTAGTTAACAGGCATTTATGTTCAGTTATACCAAAAAGTCTAACATTTGAACTAAGCCTTCACAACAACATACCTTTACTGACGGCATGACAGCAGGATAGAGCTCATTCTTTAGGTACTTGTACAGCTTTTTCTCATTACTGTTGCTTGACTTCTGAAAAGAGCTATCAGCAGGTACAGCATACATCAATACAAGTAGAAGTGAATCATACCATATAAAACCCCATCCACCAAGACCACAAAATATCTATAATTAACAAACAAATTGCCGAAAAAATAATGACAAACAAGTAAACAATATCTACTTAACTATCAAAGAGAAAGAGAGAAAGAAGGAGAAGTTCTACTTTATTATCAAAACAATGCAAATGAAGAACACAGCAAACAGTATTCCCTAAACACAGCTTAGTTTAAGAAAACTCTTGTATCCTAATATTAAAGTTTCTTTAACATCCTCATAAACACATATTGGTTTTCCCATGATTACAACCAAATGAAAAATCATTTATAAAAACACTATATCTTTGTGCATTTATGAACAATTATCCCACACTGCGGAAACTAATCATTTATAAATATACTGTCAGGTTTTTTAAATTATACAAAACTTATGCTGGACTTCCCAACCAAAAAGGATAACAGATGACTCTGCCAGAAGAACCACCTACCAGAAGGATCTGGTAGCTGTGTGTTTACAGTGTTCAACAATAACTTTTAAAACCACTTCATTAGAATAACTGTTTCTTGCCTAAGAAAATAATTAACACCACATAAAGCTTCAAACCCAAGTAAATGTATGCTATTTCAGCTTAATCATATGACAAGTTCGTGTTTGATTCGAGTCCAGTTTTATAGTAAACTTTTATATTACAACCACAGAGCTGTAAACTGTTGCAAGGTTTTTATTATCACAGATCGTGTGAATATTTTTCCAACTCAAAACATTTAACGTCAAACCTCATGAATCTAACAGTGTTTTAGATGAATACTTCCAAACACTGTGATTGTCAAAAAAAAATTTTACTGCTATGGAGGATGAGATGCAGCATGCTTGCAAGTCCTGCTTATTGATACAATCAAGATAACCACTAGTGTACATGCATGAATGAATGAGTGAATAACCACCAGAGTAAGGTAAGTCTTAGATAAAATGGCCTGCATATTGAAAATGATAATATTAATTAAGAGCAAAAGTTAAATCCATTTTAGTCCAAATTTGGAGACCTTCTCAGAGAGAAAAAATGACTTAGACTCTGAAGAAAAAACTCAAAAGACAGTTGTCTTACCTCAGAAGCTTCTCCCAGTCTTGGCAATTTAAACAGACAGTCTCCCAGCTGAAAAATACAATATGCAAAATACCACATCAACTATACAATCAACTCCAGGCAACCATCCTTCTCAGCAAAAATTTCAAAATATAAGCAGGTGAAACTTTTAGGATAAAAAAGGTTTGCAATTTCAACACCTCAAACAACTAGTGCTTCTTTAGCATGAAAATACAAGGACAAAAGGTGCAAAACATAAGGAGAAACAAACTAAACAGTGTGACAATTACACTGCTTCATTAAATATGCTTCACAGGGCCCAAACATTATCCCACCAGCTGGCGGATATGGCTAATTAACATAACAGCTTCATGCTTTATTTAATTTTCTCTTACTTGGCAAATCATAATAATGGAAATTTAATACTCAACATGCCATATATGGAAGAGCTATTTCCATCCTAAATAAACATTATCTTATTGTGTTTGTGTAGTAAAATGTTAAAACACAATTCTTTGGGTAACTATCTTTCATGTACATCATAAATGAAGCTGTGTGTACACACATTATGGCATGAGAATAATTGTTGAGAATTCTCCATTTTCCTGTTAGTTGCCAATACATTCTAAAAGATTGTAACAAAGAAAAATTTACAGCAAATGAAAATTGCTATGTTTTGCATGTTTACGTTACAGTGTATGTCATGCCCCCCTTTAATTGAGCCAAACAGCATGTCTGAAATTATCATGCACAGTCAGGTAAATATAGATAATTATCAATTCATGACTTCAGGTAGATAAAATTAATTTTCCCTTGGTCAAAGTAAAATTTCTTGTAAAAAAACTGAGTATTTTTACATTAGCTTGACATGGCCTGGTTCTCTCAACTTCAAAACAATTAAAAATTTCAGTACACCTTATCATGTTACTGATGCTTCAGGTTTCAAGAAACCTAACATGGAAAATGTCATAAGAAATGCTTTTGAATGGTTTACTTAATCTAAAATTTAACACAGCATATGTGAAAAATAATTCAAAAAAAAAAATTTGAAGTTGTAACAGTCACCAGACAGATAGTCATCAAGTAATTTACAAGCTGAGCAAATTTAAATGCTTTTAAATAACATCAAACATTTTTGATTTGTCCCATTTTAGAGTAAGCAAGCTCACAGTAAGTTAAACAGTGTGACCGAAAAATCCAAAAGAAAACTAAAACATGCCCCAACGAAAAAGTCATACTCATGCCGCCATTGCATGAAAAGGAAAATGTCCTCTTGTGCCTGAAAACTAATACTTATTTAATTCATTTACTTATTTATCTTTTGAATTGATATAAAATATATCAGCATTAACAGACTATAATAAGATGAGTATCAAATGTTGATGATAATTAAGCCACAAGGACCGTTGGAATATTAAACATACTGTGTCTTATACTTCGTTATACTATCAACAGTGCGACTTTCAAGGATAATTCCTACAGCACATCAGTTGAAAATATCAAAGTTAATTTTTTTTAAGTTTGAAATTTTACAAGCAAGTTTTAGTCTACTTTCTCTGTCTAGTATTGATTATCTCAACTAAAACAAAAGAAAATGAAACTGTCTATGATAAATCCAAGTGAAAAGCACAAAAACAAAACCACCACAATTTAAATACATATACCTTATTAACCAAGTGCGAGGGCCATACTGGGAGAATATCAGCCTGAGGTCTTGAGAGTACGGACCGAGTGCAGCGAGGTCCGTACAAAAAAGACCAAGGGCTGATATTCTTCCAGTACGGTCCCGAGCAAGCTTGGTTAATAAGAGATTTATTATATGACTGAAGTTCAAAGGGACACGAGTTCGGTATCATTCGGGACCATTCGGGACGGTGCCCGGTCCAATACTGAGAGAATATTGACCAGCAATAGAGCATTTTGATTGGTTGATTTTAGTTATTGGCCCTCTGACTGCCCGAGTCGTGTAATAAAGCTACTTACACTTCACAGACTTTTACCAATTTGAAATGCATTACATCATTATATATATCTTATTAACCAAGCGCGAGGGCCGTACTGGGAGAATATAGGGCTGAGGTCTTGACAGTACGGACCAAGCGCAGCGAGGTCTGTACAAGAAAGACAGAGAGCCGATATTCTTCCAGTAAGGTCCTGGACAAGCTTGGTTAACAAGAGATTTATTATACGACTGAAGTTCAAAGGGACACAAGTGCGGTATCATTCCGCACCATTCGGGACAGTGCCCGGTCCAATACTGAGAAAATATTGACCGGCAAGAGAGCATTTTGATTGGTTGATTTTAGTTATTGGCCCTCTGACTGCCCGACTCATGTAATAAACTGTATTATTCCTTCTTGAAAGTTGTCCTGCTTTTACATTCCTCGGCTCTGCCTAAGCAGTAAGAAATGTGCCTTATAGCCAAAGAAGGCTCTGGTATACCAAAAACTCCCCACAATGACAAAAGACTAAAAATTGAAACCAAAATTCCTACTCAATCACTAAAGTGGAAATTCCTTATTCCATTTATCTTCAAACATCAGTAGTTGCTTATTAAAAAGAATCCTCCTTGTCTAGTGCATAGTAACACTATTAAACCACAAATTTCAAAGTGATTACAAATGATATACTATTCCTTAACAAAGATCACTCTGATACAATGAAAACAGGAGACCAACAATAAGCACAATATGCCCTCAAGTTTAGATAAAATGCTTTCATGAATATCTGACTACAATATGATTGGCCAGCACTAAGCTCTGACTGGGCAGTAATTACACCCTATACACAACAAAAATTATCAAGCAACAATCCAGAATCTGAGATATTTAAAGACAATCTGTAAAGATAATGTGATCTTACCATTAGGGGGTTAATTTACAAGGATTGATTTTGACAGTAAATTAAGAGCAACACATAAGCCTCAAGTCTAAAGTTCAGTGGGGTTTTTGAAATAGAGCTGACTAACTCCCTTCAATTACTTCCTGTGTACTTACATCTCTAAATAGAAGACATGGACAAAGGTTAATGTAACTGAGTGTGTACACGCAAATTCACTGCAACAGCTAGTAACTGTCTTCACCTGAATCAAGGCATGATCCTTATTAATCTAGATAAATTTTAAAAAGTATAAACTTTTTCCTTGTTTGGCCTACTATTCACACAGAAGGAACGCTTTTGATAAACTTAAATCTGAACAAATTCACCCACTGATCGTCTAGAAAAATTTGTCCAAAGATGCTGGCTAAAAATAACAATGTGATCTTTTGCAGTTCCCTTTCAACAATTATGCTTGCAAACACAATCTTATATTTAAGTATGGACAAATCAGTCTTTAACTTATTACCATGTACTGGGGATAACAAACTGACAAACAAAAGCTGACCCTGACCCAGGACACTATCACAACCTAATTTCTCTGGACATGTATCATTTGAAAGGGCCATGACAACGCCTCAATGTTCATCAAGGGTCTGCACGACTCAAGTCAATTGTCACCTTTACCCATATTTACCCCAATAAATCATAAAAATTAATGATTGCCATTTTTTTGTCACACTATAGCAGATTAAAAAAATTGTGCCTTTTAAAATATCAGCATACAACCCTTTATTATTAATTAATTATGATGGTGTAACAGTGCATGCATGATCAAATCATTACTCACCCTGTTCTGCGACCCTTCTTTCCAATGAGTTCGCGATAAAGTCTCAAATCTGGTGAAGAAAACAATCATCTTCCTTTAAGTTAAAAAGGATTACCAATATTTCAACACTCTGTTAGAAACAACTCCTTTGCTAACAAGGCATATACACCTTAAAGCTGAGGATACATCCCAAAGTATGGTTAAAAATAATGGTAAACAAAAAGGAAGAGAGACTTAAGTTTTGTAGAAAGCATTCACTCTAGTCTGTTTCATATAGCAGCTAGAGATGACAAACTGCTACAGTCAGAATCAGTTGTGCTCTAGATACTTCCATAAGTAAACATTTAAAATAAATTAAGACATGCACAATGTATACTGGACTGAAATCTTTACACCCAGATCTACAAATTGTTTGGAATCAAAAGTTAATTGAAAGTTATGTACTAAATGTGCATTCTCAGCAGACAACAAAGGTCAGTTCCTAGCTCTCATTTGACATTTCAATGGTTACAAATTTTCTGTCGACAACAAAATTTTAGAACCCAATACAAAGGGTAAAAGGTCTTCAAGAGGTTCAAGAAATCAAAGAAGACTATCCAAGCAACAGAGGAAGCTGTCAAGATTGTTTTATGGGAAAGCTTCCACAATAATAAAATTGTGGACAGAAATAACAGTAAAAGAGGATATGACCCAATGATCTGTGAGATATTATCATGTCTACAAACAGTATGCCAGGTATTATTATAGAAGTTTGAATTATAAAATTCTTAAGAGAACTGATGCTTCCTTTGTGTCAACCATGTTATCATATTAGTCCAAATATTTATGATTAAAATTACACAGGAAATGAACTATAACTAAAACAAAAAAGCCCATCAGTTGGACAATAAAACCTTATATTCAGACTTTCAACTCTAATGAACAATGAAACCGACAGGATTGTTAACACACCACAGTGTGATTTGGAATGGTGATGGTGATTTGATGACACCAATAGCAGCAGAGAGAGTGACTAGAAAGCTACTTGTGAAAAATATTGTCAAGCAATGCACCTTAGGTCATCAAAACCATTATAGTTTAGTACACAGAAATATGTTATGGAAGAAGTCTAATTTCAATATCTGAAAGTGATTCTTGGGGCAACAATCATACTCACACAACACTTATGTACTGACTATTATTTCGTTGCTTATGTAAGTAATTACAAGATGATCCACTTTTAACAGAGACTGTTCTTCAACAAACACACTTTGCAACACAACAGAGCAGTTAGAATACCAGTACATAACACATATGTGACAACTTCAAGATCAAACAAAAATTATTTCATTTACCAAACAGTTCCTCAGAAAACATTCACATCTTCCAGACCCTTACAAAACAGAAATGCTGCTGAGAATTTGTAGTTCACAAGCTCTGGATATGTAAACAATACATGCTTGGCTGGTCACAGAACTACCTGACTGTGGCGGTTATAAATATTCAAACTTCTGGCAGGATTCTGAAAAGCTTTTTTTGTGGCCAGACAAAGAGTGTCAATTTTGATTCACACCAGTTAAGTCCTTCATTCTGTTGACCTGTGAAAGAGCTGCCTTTCTAAGTCTTGAAAATCCACCAAAACCTCTCAGAATCAAACCCAAACATGGTAAATCAAGTTAAGTTTAGATTATGCTAAATTAAAAATATATATATACTACAAGCATAGGACAGCATCTATTTGGGTCACTGTAAATCTAGCAGAAGCTGTAGAAAAAAAAACCTATTTTGGAAGAAGATATTAAATACCTACATCTCTGACAAGGGGTAAAGACCAGAGAGGAAATAATCCAACTGTAAAAGCCATGAACTTCTTGCCTCAAAACGACTTTTCAAAATATATGCAAAACATGCAAGCCCCATGAAACATTTATTCCATTCTGTTGTTTGCCCTGCCATGTGACTTAGCCTAATTGCATTCTCCTTGTAACCATACAATGGCTTTTTAATTTGAATCTTGTCAACAAGCTTTGGGAACAATGTGGCTGCTTAGAGCCCATTGGAACACAGCAAAAACGGAGTGTAAACAGTCACTGCTCTTAGGAAACCAGCCCTGTGATTGGATCTTCAATTGGCCTGTCACCTGCTGAACAAAAATGGCTCTTTTCATTGGAGCTACAATATCAACAAAGCCCCTCCACTGAAAATTTATGCAAATTGGATTTCTTACATGCATATAAAATTTCCATGACAAAAGCTTATTCATGGAGTATTTGGCAGCAGTAAACAATGGACTGAATAGCATCTCAAGAGAAGCAAGCAAAAAATTAAAAGAAATGGAGAGGACTAAAACATTTCCATAATACACTGAAGAGAAGACTTTTGGTGTGACCCTTTCAAAAAAAAAAAGAAAAGAAAGAAAGAAAGAAGAAAAGGCAATGTAACTATGTACTGAAGACCTATAATAAATAAATCTGCCTTATTTAAAATTCTAAGAGGGAAACAAATGACAAGCCTTTGAATATTTAGGTCATGAATTGTAGTTTCCCAAGACAAAGGTTAAAACAAAGGATTGAATACAAAAACCGGAAACATACTGTTCTATGAGCATTATATAAAAACATGTACTTCCCAAAGGGGAAAAAAAATTAAAACAAAAGCAAAACCAGTGTTGTTATTAGTAATGAGCTGTGCAACACAAAAATTACATTGAAGTAAAGAATTCATGAACATTATATGTAGCTATGCAATTCTTCAAAAAAAAAAAAGACAAAAGTATTAATTTGGTAATTGTGTGGTTTGTGAAATAAGAAAAAAAAAACTCACACTCTAGTTTTTCAGATCAATAGTTTAAATAATAAACTCCTACACACAATCACAAAAAATATAAACCTTTGACTAAATAAATTCCTCAATAAAAAAATAAATTCCTCAATAAAAAAATATCAATCAACTCTAAATTTTTCCAATCAGTGGGCAGTAACAGCATACCTTGTTGTCATATGAATTAAAAAAGCATATTTCAGGTTTTTCAGAGTAGTATATTTTTACCAATCAAAAAATGAGAGTGTTGGTTGAAAGTTGCTGTAAAATTTATTTAGTAATGGTATCTCGTTGCTCCAAATCTGAAAAAATTGAAATAAATTTTTGGGTAAAAATATAACATGACATTGTTAACAAAATTACATGCTATACAATACTCAAAAGCATCACTTTGGTGTTCAACCACTGATTCCCCAGTATTCTAACAAAGAGGAGGCAGTTCCATTTTAATTCTGTGTAAAGCATCGATTTCAAAATACACCAACACTGAGTTTTGGTCTTACAGACTATCAATAGATGCTGGACTGGATATTAATCAGTAAAACAACAGCTTTGACCCCCCTATTCCTGAAAGTACTGATTACAGAAACTGATAAGTAATACAGACAGTTTCTACAGACACATTCAGACTCTTTGTACTTTGGTAAACCAACAGTGTTTGCATTATGGTCATTATATTATGAAGATATGCCAGTTTGTCATTTTGGTTTGTTGTAATACTCACTAGCACAATACATATGATTAACAGTCCTTCTAAAATAAATATCAGAGAAATTCTACAATTCCATCATGGTTAACTTAATACCCAATTTATCTAAATTACACTAAAATCAAGACCTGTTCATAAAAGATGCACTAGGTTCAGTTGCATTTAATTGCAAAGGGTAAAAATGAAGTTGAAAAGTATAGCTGCGGGTGATTAAAGTTAACTAAGAACCTGAGCTTAGATAAAGACATCATCTAAGCTTAGTGGAGAGTGCTTCATTAGTAAAATGTTCCGAGGCTGGTTCATAATGAACAAGTGATCATGTTTTGAAGCCTAGCCCTGACCTTGACATTAAAAAATTCATCAGATAATTTCAACAATCAGCTTGATCAATTGTTTAGTCTATGACCTACAACATGGTTGTCTAGCTGGAACTTTCACTCTGCAGGCAGTTATTGTCTACTAATAGCACAATCGTACTAAAATATAGTATTTCTCTCTAGCAATAATACATCGATATTTGTCCGCAAGAAATACATTTTTTGTTTAGGAAAGACTCTTGCAGTCATTACTCATCGATTATTGTCACCATCCACATAATAGTTTTAAAAAGACTTGATTTAAAAAAAAGCAAGAGTGAATAGGCATTGTACATACTAATAACCACTGATGGATATGTTATTGGCAGGGGAAAAAAGGCCACAGATGTTCAACTTTCATTTTCATCTTTAAACAAAATAAAAGTGCTTGTTCAGTCTTGTTTTACTTTCCTACAAAACTACTCATTTTTTTTGCATGCATCATTATTTCAAACATTTTGTTTCAAAAATAACTCACATCTGACAATAAAAAAGCCTTGGAGAGAAGAATTGGTTAAAATAAGTAAAAAAGTTATGAGCAAAGTAACGATAAATTTCCAACTGCTATTTAAATTCCATATACTCTAACCCAATTAATAAGAGATTTTTATTTATACGCATGCTCCGCTGTATAAACAATGATTTCTGCTTAAAACATTCTAAATATGCACACTTACCATCAAAGTACCAATAAATATTATTGGAGGCATCATAACCTATGGGCTTTACTCCCTTGGAAAAATGCAAACAGTTATCAGTTGACAGATTGATAGCTTAAAAATACTAGAGCTGTTGTTGTTCTTTTTCATGGTTTGGCTGCGAGGCTCACAGCCTTAAAAGATTGACAATTAAAGAAAGCAACCCATGCGGCCAAAGCATATTTAGGACTATTGTTAATTGAACTGAATAGTAGACTAGTCCATTGTGGGTTATCTGGCCAGCAGCTTATCAGCGGCATCCACTGAGGCACCTGGGTGGAGAGATGCTGTGAGTATCAAGTGTCATACTCAAGAACATAACACAATAGCCCATCAGTCAGCACAACAAACCCACACAAAGATGTTCAATTTATGCTATAAATAGGTTAATACACATGAAAAAATTGTGCACTTCTGATTGGCTGAAAACAAGTGCACTTTTCATGTAACATGGGTGCAACTTACAAATAGCACATGCTGTCAAAATTTTGTCTGTCTTGACTTTCAGTGATGCTTTTTTCAGAAGTTAATTGTCAATAAGTAAATAACATGATTTCTTATGCAAATCTGTTGAAAATAGCACTCTTGTAAATTTTTCAGACTACAAATTGCACTAACCCTACCAGCTTGTGCAATTTTGTTAACACCAAATCACACTCAAAATCATGTTAGCACCAACACAAATTTAACATACCAAAACATCTTCCTGTGAATGACAAAAATGACCTTGAATGACAAAAATCAACTCAAGCAAACTTACTGAAGAGTTTGGATTTAAAAAGTTCTTTGTGTACTCTTTTAATTGTTCATCTTTACTTGCTGCAAGGTGGTCTGCCAGACAATATATAAGTTGTTTTAACAGCAACACCTGCAAAAGATAAAATAAAATATCAGTTCAGTATTATCCCTTTCAAATATAGTGATCATAAAAAAGTGTCTTCATTTCAAAGCTGAAATAATTTGTATGCTACTCCATCACATACTTTTGTGGGCACACAATTGGTTCAAATGTTTATAAAAGCTCACAGTTTTCCACAAGCTTGGCTCTTAGAAAACTCTTCACTATTGAGAACAGATAGTGTCTGTGGACAGTATCTGTCCTCATTTTCAAGGACATTACTGAAAGTTTGTACTTTTACTTTTCTGCCATGAGCTTCTAACATGGAGGGCAACTAGTACATCACCAGAACAAAATTATAGTCACTTAAAGATATCCTGCAGATTACAGAGAGCCTCTAATAAGAGTCAATCTATACATTGGGTAGGCTCTCATTGTGTCTACAACAGTTGGCATGTAGTCGTTCAATATTCAGTGGATAACTGATGAGATACTTGACAAGACACTTGACTGATACTATGCAAATGTCTGAACAGTCCTCAAGAGTAGATTGACTATTGACCATGCAGTGCTTTGATTATGGAATGACTGACTACTGGCTGTTATTCAAAAGGGAAATGTGCTTTCAAGTTCTGCCAATTCTCACTAGCACTTCATTGAGAAAACTAAATTATTAGGCTCAAAATAAGTCACCACAGACAGCAATAATCTACTTTTAACTGTGACTCAGACTGACTTATGTTTCTGTATGATGAGTTGTGGAGTAATTAGCAGAAAATCAGAACATTCTGATTCTAAAAACTTTGAGTGTACTGATAAAAATTTGTGACAACACTTCAGGCAGTGAGTTTCAATTTCCCCCTAGGCAGATTTAGCTCTAGATTCCAACTCATTACTATTGCTAGGGAAAATTGCCTTTTCATGGAAGCTTATTGCAGCACCCCCAATTAAATTCATGTCAAAGTAAATTAATTTTACAGTAATAATGGGAGGAAAATTATCTTTTTTTTATGAAAAATAGAAACAGTTGTAACTAAATAATTATAACTGATCAACAAAGTTATAACCTATGTCTACCTTTTGAAGATTTTCATTTACATAGAATATCATTCAATTCAGAAATCTTGGGTCCAACATCCTAAATTAAGGTATCATAGAAAGACTAACAAACAATACTTGTATTAGGTAAAACAATAAATTATAATGCCATCATAAAGATATGTAGAAGACAACAGCAGTTGGCTTCAACAAAATGAAAGGAACAAAGTTGTGCACATAGCGCTTTTAACCATATTATATTATCATTAGGTAGTTTATTAATTGCCAGTGCTTTCGGATTATCTCGTTTAGTACTTGACCTTAAAGCTTCGTTAAAATGATACGCAGTTTGATGAACAGGTCCATCAGTACTAATTAAATTTAAACAACGATGACAATAAAATTGAGCTGAATATAGCTTGTTCGGTTTTAAGCGCTCGCCATTTTGCACCGAAACCACTTCGGGAATTACAGACCGACCTAGCTGAATTATTTAGCAATGACATCCTCGATGTCCTTGTCAATTTGCGAAAATAATTAGTTTACATCTGTTAACAGTATTTAGCCTATCAACCTTAAACGTACGAGGGACGATTAACAAAACGCCCACATCAACACACGTTAAATCAAATAAAAAGAAAACCTACTCAAAGGGAAATTTTACTCACACGACCCTCGGGTTTCAAGTCTACATAACGATTTCCTTGGTCGAGGGGAGACCTGTCCGACGATCTTTTCTCAAGCTCTTCTTCGAGGATTTCCTGCCATGTGTTTGGCCTTAAAAGGACGCAGAAAATTATAGTTCAATTAAAAACACACGCAAACTCCTTCGAAAGATACGGACAAATGTGTAGGGAAATCACATCAGCTGAGATTTTCATTATGCGCCATGATACACGCTTCCGTTATAAGAAAAAAAACACACAAATACTCGACTCACTTCACATCCCGTTTGGGAAGTAGAGTTTGTAGCAGTTGTATAAATATTCCAAACAGTATCGAGTTCTCGGACTCCAAGAAGGCATTCTCTAATTCCTGTTAAGGAAGACAACCCGTCAACACAATTCATCAGCAGGAATTAGAAATCAATCGTTCAGCTTACGTATATACTCGTGTAAGCTACACTACATACATGCGTACACTGGCAGCCAACGGACGAGTTGTAAATTGAAACGTAGCTTCAGTTTAATCAACAACTAAGTAACAAATCTCGCTAAGATTTCAAGACAGGCTTAAAATTTTCAAATAAAAACACAAAATATCTAAAACTTGCAGAAAATTAAATGTTTTCCTTGCAACGAACTATCGTTTTATAACGCGCACCTCGGCCGTGAAGCAGACGAAACCAAACTTCCCCTGGAATACCCGCAGGAACTGGGAAACAAAAACAAATTCCCACATCGAGCGCATTCCATTTGTCGACAAAGCACCTAGAAAATTAAAAGAACAATGATGCAGTCGCTTATTTCTGTCTTCAATCGAAATCTTCACCGAAAAGCTGAAGAAGTGAAATCTACAGCGTGTGACAAGTTGAAATTTGAGTTCACGCGATGACAGCCCACAATTAGTCACAACCAGGACACACTATCGCGTGATAAAACAAGAAAGCAGCGAACACAGACCGGACAGGCATAAAAGCTGACGGACAACCATAAATTACCTTGTTTGTGACGTCTCCGCATCTTCAAAAAGACGCCTCACGTTTGTAAAAAGTCAGAAATTTTCATGTTAGTTTGCAGGAACTCAAGGACTTCTCACCTTACTCCGCCTCACTTTCGTCCTTCAAAACAAAAACGTCATGTTTGGCCACGTGATAAGTTTGTCAATCAAAAGCTCAACTGTCATAGCAACATCTGAGGGGGCGTACTCAGCACCTCACACGTATTACTCTTTCTTCCTAATTTCTTGTTTCGACAAATCAGAAAGCTATGGTGGACTTTCGAAATAGCTTGAAATGACCTATTTTTAGACGTGATTAACTGCCGCTCAAAGGTTTCACCTTTTTTTCGTAAAATGATTAAAGTCGGGAGCAGCGCAGCGATTTTTTTTTAAGTGCTCTATTTGCATACCCAATTTACGATTTTTGTACAGTTACATCCTTTTTTATATAAACTATCAGTAGATGAACTAGATAAATGTATGAATGCAAGAAACGAGTTTTCTAGGGAACAAGACTGTTCTTTGGAAACTGAAAGTAATATGTACTGCGAGCAAGGGTTTCACGGGTAAACCAAAGTACAATTTGTGAACTTTAAACAATAGGCAATTCAACAACGATGCTTTCAACAAACTTGCAAATAATAACAATTGTATAGTAAATTCAGCAGTGGCAAACCAATGTTTTTTACGGGTTAGTTGATAAATACCCCGAGGCTTCATTCACGAGATGGGCCACGAGGTGCCTATGTGATTTTTGTTTATCTCCCAGTTTCCGGCGGAATGTTGCCATCATGTCGAACAGATTTAGAGGCACGAGTGAGGTATTAAAAGTGTGCAAAACCGCACGAGCCGAAAGAGAATGCAATGTGAAACTCTCCAAAAATCGAAGTGCAGGGGACGTTTATACGCTTTTTATTGTTACTTTCTCAGTAAATTCAGTTACCAACGCTTGTTTGTTCATTCTTGATGCAAGAACGCCTTAGGGTTAGGGCTAATTTGCAGCTGAAAACAAAAAAGAAAAGAAGATTTACTGCATTGCTTTTGTCATCCAAAGGACAATTGTACTTCAGACTGAACCTTTGTTTACACTGGGTAAAAAGGCAGCCTTGTCAGCGTAAAAGGAAAAAGAATTCGCATGTATGATTAGAATGTACTTTTCACTTATCTTACCTACCAAAATTTGATTTCTGAATGATGAAAAATTCACCCAAAGCTGTCTATTCAAACACAGGCAGCCCAAGCTCACTATTAGAAAAGCAGACGTGACTCTTACCGTTTTCGGCGAGTTAGCGCTAGGTTGGTAACTAACTCGCCGAAAACGCTTCAAAATGGCCTGAGACGCTAGGAATCAACAAAGAAAACAACAAGGCAATAAGGTAAGTCCATTTTATTTCAAAACAAGACATTGTTTTCTCTCTTTTAAGGCAAACCGATAACATCCCATACAAACCTTTATAAATATAAAACGTTGCGCAACACGGTAAGAGTCACGTCCGCTTTTCTAGTAGTGAGCTTGGGCTGCCTGTGATTCAAATAATTATTATATGGCTGTGTCTCAAAAGGACTGGGAACTACCGAATTCACGATTTTTATTGGCTGAAATCAATATTGAAAGCGGTCCAGATTTTCCCATCTAGACAGGGGCCAGCATGATCTAGCCCGGTCAAGAAAAAAAAAGGTTCAAAGAATATAAAAAATTGGCCTATAAGACACAGCCATATAATAAACATCTTATTAACCGAGCTAGGTCGGTCTGTATGGGAGAATCTTGACCTCGGTCAAGATTCTCCCAGACAGACCTCCCGCTCGGTTAATAAGAACTAAGTATCAAAGATATCAACACTGGCGTCTTCCACTTAGAGAAACCAACCGCGTGTGGCTTTCCCTCCAGGGTCCAGGGCGGATAACGCTATCCAACGGATAACTTGCTATCCAGCGGAGAAACATTAGCAAAAGGTACTGCACTATCCACCCGATAGAGATTTATACAGTGGATAGCGTTATTCAACCTTCAAACAACCGGGGTCTATAATAATAAATTGCTATCCAGAGGATAAACTATAGCAAAAGGTACTGCACTATCCACCCGATTGAGATTTATACACTGGATAGCGCTATTCAACCTTCAAACAACCGGGGTCTATAATAATAAATTGCTATCCCGCGGATAAACAATAGCAAAAGGTACTGCACTATCCACCCGATAGAGATTTATACAGTGGATAGCGCTATTCAACCTTCAAACAACCGGGGTCAATAATAATAAATTGCTATCCCGCGGATAAACAATAGCAAAAGGTACTGCACTATCCACCCGATAGAGATTTATACAGTGGATAGCGTTATTCAACCTTCGAACAACCAGGGCCAGGTTTTGTAATAGTTAGAAATCATTACATGACTGGGCTCTTTAGAGTGATTAATGATCGTTTAAAAGTACTTTAACTCTAGCGAGGTTGTAAGAAATCACAGTCCGGCGCTGAAAGGGTGTAACAGCTACAGCTCGCGGTAAGGTTTATTCGACGGTATTCAATCTTTGGTGTCAGTCACCTGTAAAAACATTACCTGAGGTAAGTCCATAAACGATGCTACTTGTATTTGTCATTTTGTCAATGTCGATTTTAAAAACCTTTCACTCCTAACAGAGACTGACTTCTAATTCCGCCATACAGTATCACCCTCGAGTTAAATATAAAAGTCACGAGAATAAGTAAAATAAGTATAATAATAATAATAATAATAACAATAATAATAAGTATAATAATAATAATAATAATAACAATAATAATAAGTATAATAATAATAATAATAATAAGTAAAATAAGTAAAAACCTTTCACCCCTAAGAGAGACTGACTTCTAATTCCGCCATACAGTATCATCCTCGCGTCAAATATAAAAGTCATGAGAATAAGTAAAATGATCACCAATCCAACCCAAGCCTAATTATCCTTATCAGTACCATCTAGGATTGAAATGTAAAGAAAACAATGTAAAGAACATGAATATTAATATCAGGCTGTGAAGAGTTAACGCCAAGTAAGGGAACCTGCGCTGATCCGTGAATGTAGACGAGACTATAAGGAAACCAAATGACATCCTTAATGAATGCTAAATTCAGCATTTCCATACCCTTTCCGTACGTGTGTTGCATATCTAAAACAGTCAACATAGATACATTTTCAATATCAAACCATCCACTTATGCTAAACGTGGACGCTAATTTCTAAATTTCTACATGAAATGTTTCAAAAGTCAAGCAAAAACTGTCAGGCAGGCATGTCTAAGCCTCCATTGAAGAGTTTGTTTAATCAGTTCTGACCTTGAAATGGTAAGCGATCCACGTGAAGAACTTCAGTTACCTTTGAAGCGTCAAATAAGGATACATGAGCTGTAAAAAATAACTACTTTCAGAAACAAAACCCAAAGACGCTCAGTAAAATCGATTTTTTTTTTCTTCTTTACTCTAACAGATATTCACAATTCATTAACTTGTATTTAAACAATCTTTTCCAATGGTTCTAGAAAATCATTAACTGGTGTGGACAGATATTGCCTTGAACTATCGAAAAAAAACAGGCCAAACATCAAAATGAAGGTGTAAACTCAAACTGCGCAAATGCAACTGAAAAAGGTCAGTCTTTTAGAGTTGGTAAACAATGGCATAATCACTTATAAAATAAATTCAGCACTCGTGAGCTCAACCAAAATAAAACTAACAATAGAAGAGCGCTGTCTGTTTAAAAATTTTTCATAAAAGTAATTTTTCGGCTCCCAGAAGAAAGCCTTAAAAGGCAAGATGTAAATGCCGAGATAGAATTAAAAAAGATGAATAAAGCGACGGTCGCCGGACGGATTTTGTGAGGGGATCGCTTAGTAAAGCACAACGGGCACCTCCGAGGTTACACACTTACAATCGTTCACCACCTTTGAGCCACCAGAAATTTCAGCCGGTAGCAGAGCTGACGGCATAATTTCTTAGCCTCTTCTCTGAAAGACTACATGTATTGTTTTGGCAATAAAAACCCTTTGGAATTCTGGTACGCTGCTAGTTTCGATGAAATCGATAATTACTCCAAGCCATTGGTAAGTTTTGTTTGATTCATGGGATACACAAGAGTATTAAGTTGGCCAAGTCAACTTGCTGCCTCAAGTTTTGGTCTCTTTGCTTCACGTTCTGTGGTCGGTTCAATGGTGGAGTCGTCCATTTTGGCATGACCGTTGTCTTGCAGTTTATTCTTGTTATTTTTCTTTTCCATTCGTTCTTCTTTTCTTGCCAGGTATTCCGTTAAATTGTCGACCTCTTTCTTTCTCAGAGAATCCAGTTTACGCTCCTGATTTAAACTACCTGTGTGAGCAAACATGGACGGTCAATGACAGATCACATAACGCACACTATGATTGGACAAGGGGACAGTTAGGTCCTGTAAAGCCTTACCTTAATTGGTTAAGAAACCCTCTTTCTCGGTGACGTAAAAAATTTCATTTGTGTTACAGGTGATCCGGGATAGCATTGTTTCACCCCAACTTCGCTCTCTGATTGGTTTTCAAAACTTGCTTAGCTCTCTTAACCAATCAGACGCATGCACGACCCATGACCCGTGACCCGTACTCGCTCGTTTTCCCGCGCTTTTGGCCGCTTTTACTTCAAGTTTTTAAGGCTTCCTATTGACAATGATCTCTGAATAGGCCGTTGTGATTACTTACATGGGTTTTGTTAGAATTTGGCCGAAATCTCCGGAAAGAAACAACGAGTGGTAAATAAGTTTATTCACTTATATGAAAAACAAAACAAAAAAAAACACCAACTATTCTGGTAGATTCAGTTCCTCTGCCACTCTCTCCACCTTAATGTTTCCTTAAAACTTTCCTTAGATGAAGGGAAGCTAGATTTCGGGGGTCCATAATACGGAATCAGAATTTATTTTTTACAATAAATGGCTTGAACCCGGGGGTAACATGGGAAGGTGTAGTCTGATCGTCCGGGTGAGTGTAGTCCTGAGAAGGACTGTTGTCGGTGGTAGTGACTGACGTTTCGACAACCTGTGCGGAAGTCATCATCAGAGTCAAGTGAATGATTGTTGTCAGTAGAATGTTCTTATTCCAGTTCGTGTGAAATGATCGGTTGGTTTTGCCGTGATGTTATTGGCTGTAAGACTCAAGTGACGTAAGTCGGTCGTGATTGGTCTGTTTCGATCTATCGGTAAAGTTAGGTCGTTCTTTTTCGGTCGATTGTGATGTTTATGTCGTGAATGAGTCGTTTGTATGGAGCGGGTAGTTGCTGACCTCTGTTTAGGGGAGTCTGTTCTAAGTTACTAAACCAACTTTCTAGTGTCAGTGGTTGAAAATAGTCAGTACTGTAGGTTAGGCATTTAATCTTTTACATACAAAAACGCCAAAATAAGGCTAATTTTGGCCCCGTGACGCTGATTTTGCAGTATTCAAGGCCCGAAGTCATATTTCCAATCAGCAATGTAAGAATTACCTTTTAAATAGTTCCAGTCGCTAACTGATGACAGAAGCGGTGAAAAGTCTGACGTCAATTTTACGAACTGCGAGGAAAAACGAACGATGTTTTAATTAGTAAAGACGTTAAATTTAAAAGAAGTAGAAAAAAGGCTATTCTCACATATCCACAACCTCTAATCTTCAGTAACAGTAAACGTGAAGCCTCATATAAAAGAAGAAATTGTTTTTCGTATAAAGGGAAACAAATGAATAAAAAGAACCCGTGCATTTGGCCCTATTTGGTTTTTAGAACTCGAAAAAGGATTTGAAGCCGTTCCGCGTGATTAGAATTCGTTTCCAAAATCCGTCTTACTAACTTGTCTTCCCGGTCCCTTCTAGAAGTTACGGATCCTCCCTTTAATTTATGGGTCATTATAACATAGTAAGCATAGTACGCATCGTCTGATTGGTCAATTCAGTTTCCAAGTGGATGCTTAATCAGGTTGTAGAGCCCGCATGTAACTAGTTATGTCATAAAAGCGATAAAGCACATTTTTCCAGGCTCAAGGACGTAATATAGTCACTTGGAATTTTGGGAGAACATTTGGAAAGCGCATAAATCACTCGCCTTTGGATTGTGATTTCTAAGCTTTCCTCGTGTTCTCCCAACATCCCGCGAGGCTTCATCGCATTATAGAATCCCGAAAAAGTGTTCCCTTGCTTAATTAATGAAAAGGAGGAAAAACTCGGTCTATAACTTAAGGCAAGAACCTCGAGCTTGGTTAATGAGAGGTATATGTTGTGTACATGTGGTTTCCTTCAAGTTAATGGTAGAGTATGGTAATTTTGTGATTAGTAAGTGTTGCTACAGCGATGCCAATGGTAATTTCTCACGCTTAGTGGTGGTCCGAGGTTTGATTTCTGGCTCCCAGTTAGCTAATAACGTGAAACCATTCTTGTAACGGATGTAAGGAAATGTTTAGAAAAAGTTTCGTCAAGATGAAAAAAACCAGTTCGAGCATGTTTCAATTAAATGTCGAAAGTAATCCAGGATTGCTTTGGTTTTGCCTTACTTCGCTCTATGATTGGTCCAGAAAACTTGCGCCACTTTCTCGACTAATCAGATGCAACACTAAAACCAATCACGACTTGGTCGCCCGCTCTGTAATTGATCCAAAACACTTGCGCCACTTTCTTAACCAATCAGATGCAAAACTAAAACCAATCACGATTTGGACACCCCCGTTTTCCCGAGCTTTAGGCGGTTTGGTGGTTTTTACTTTTAGTTCTCATTGGCTCTTAAAGGTGTTTTCCTTTCTTCTTGCGTTGTGATAACTTTTGTCTGGGTTTTGCGACATTCAACTGAAAAGCGCTCTAACATCATTGTCTGTATCACAAACCATTAAGTCTGGTAAGTCTCCAAAAGGTTCAAAAACCAACACAGATTCCTCAGGGTAGGGCTGTACACACCAAAGTCTACCCTCTGGGTCAAATACTGCACTCCAGGGGGGTACACTGGCTTCTACAGAAGGGAGGGTTCTCGCCTCTTTGTGACTTGCATGATATAAATAAATGGTTTTACATCTGCCAGGAAAAGAAAACAGGTATACACTTTGTAACTGATCGTTTACCTAATCACCATAATGATGTTAATTTTTCTCCCGGTTGAATCGAATATTTTTGAGAGAAATTGAATCAAGTAATACCTTTCTATAATAGCACACACCACTGAATTTCTGCAACAGCAAGTTAAGGATGAAACAATGGGACAACAGAGCTGGTCTTCCTGTAGATAGCAGTGAGCAAAACTGGTCAGTTAATGAAAAAAAGGACCTCAAAATTAATAACTAAATGAATAAATAATTAAATATAAAGGTAAAACAAGTGAAATTGAGAGGAAGCACCTCACAAAAGCAATACCAGATTAAATTGGAATTTGATCTATTGGAAAAAATGGAGAACTTTGACCAAAACCATCCCTCTACCATCCTCTGTCTCTATAACTCCTTTTAGAATGTTACTGACCAGTATTTTTGTTTTTAACACCAATTTTTGTTCTTTGACACAAGATCTGGTGCCACTTGTGGGTTGAGTTTGTTGTTAGTTCTCGTCCTTGCTGCAAAGCTTCTTCTCGGGTCTTCCAGTTTTCCTTCCTCCACAAAAATCAACATTCTAAATTTTAATGCACCACTTGTGGAGTGTCCATTGTTAAATCCCATTTATTTTATTCTATATATTTATTCTATTGTAAAACACTATAAGTAGATGTTGCAATTATCAGGGCTTGACACTAACGGTAGCCCACTAGCCACAGACTAGAAGAAATTCATTTTTGACTATTGGTTTTCGATTTCCACTAGCCAGTTTGGCTAGTAAATAAACTGAAATTGTCATAAAATCTAAGATGTCACTAGCCAATTGGCTAGTAAGTTCAAAAGTTAGTGTCGAGCCCTGAATTATTACCATGAAATTATCCTATTTGTTGTTGCACAATCATGTTACCCCAAAATCATTGAAAAAGGACTTAGGGTTACACTGCAGGGAAACTACGGTACCTCTTGGTTTTCCTCTTTGACATCTTTTGTTGAATATTCTAGCTTTTTGGAAGTTATCTCTTTGCCTGAATCAGGATTCCAGAATGTTACAGTCCCATCCTAGCATAAAAAAATTAAGAACATATATGTAAAAATAAAATGAAAGCAAGTTCCATCCTGAATGAGTAATAAGTTTGGGCATTAGAAAAGTACTATTTCACATTAAGTAATAATGAATAGTTCAGTAACTGTTGTGACTATAAACTTGTGATAAAATGAAAGAAGAAATTTCTTAAAAAGAAATTGACTCAACAAAGGCTGCAGGTCAATTATTAACAAATGTCTACAATTTCTTGATGAGCTGCTATCAGTTTCTTTCAACACTCCACCTTCACTATGAAAAGAGATCTAATATTAGTTAAGATTTGAGCAAATAGCCTTGGGAATTACTAATCTTAAAGTCCCTATTCCCCCTCAGAGGTTTATATATATTTCTATTCTTTGCGTTATCAGGATTAATCTCCAAAAAAATTTTTGCGATTGATTAAATATTTCCCGAGATATGCCACCTCAAAGTTACTCTTTTGGCCACGCCCTTTTGACTTGGCTGGGAGAAAATTACTGGGCCGAGTGACATCACAGCAAGAACAAATGTTAACTTCTTGTATAAGAACATGTCTATTGCTGTAAAATGATGTGAAATGCCGACTCATTACGTGGTCGCTGGTTGCTCAAATACACCAGATTCATCCAAAGGTATATTCAAGTGAATGTAGGCACATCGATCAAAAGACATTCTTGCTGTGACATCATGAGGGACTTTTAGTCACCAGTATTTACTTAGCCCGGCCAAATCAAAAGGGTGTGGCCAAAGGAAGAACTTTGAGGCGGCATATATCGGGAAATATTTAATCAATCAAAACAAATTTTTTGGAGATTAATCCTGATAACGCAAAGAATCGAAATATATATAAACCTCTGGGGGTGAAAAGGGACTTAAAGTTTGAACTTTGTTCAACAAAATTAAACAAAATGAGCTCCTACCCCTCCACCTGACACAAGAATGTTTTGACTTCCTGATAACAAGGCTAAACAGCTGACAAAACTGAAAGGACAATGAAATTAAACTTATGATCAGTCAGGTCATTCAATTCTGAGATAAATATTTTCCATGTTTTCCAGGGTTGTCATTAGTAGCTGGAAGGCAGAAGAAACCCACCTGTTGTCAGGCCATTTTGCACTGGCTACTTTATGAATTGTGATCAAAGATAGGAAATAAGTATTTTTGACCTGATTCTAAGATCAATTTCTGAGCAAGAAAAGGTACTCAAACATGTCCCAGAATTCTAGAAATTATATCGCAGAGAAAGTTTCAAATTTCAAATTTTTCCACAGGAGCATGCCCCCAAACCTGCCTTGAATGGAATGTTGCTTTGCATGCCCACTCAGTTCAGAAGTATAAATTAAAATTAACTATAAATTGACTATAGAATGTATTAAAACTTTGGGGTGGCCAGGTCTCATCAATTCTATGCATGACTTGTCGTCTGCATGTACATTATTTAGAGGTGATTACCAAACTTACTCTAAATGTCCAAGACAAAATGTATGGATGTTATAAGAGTTTGGGAAACAACTGACTCGTATCTTCTCATCTCTATCTGATGTAATTAAAAACTTGTCGTCTCCAGTAAGAACCTTGAGATATAAAAAAAAATTGGTAACAATAACATAAACTTAATTATAGAAAAGAAAAACAAGCAGATTCTAAAAAGAATAAAAGATGACGCATTGCATACATACATACATACATACATACATACACAACTTTATTTGATAATGCAGGTTAAAAATTTATGCAACTTTACAGCTGATGTGGACCTGCCTAAACTAATTAGTCTATAATTATATAAAATACCAATATGATACAATTGATAAGTTCAATAAATCAAGTAAACCATAAAATTTTAGTAATAGTGAAAATTTGGTTTCATGTTTTGTATAACATTACCTCCCTTTTCAAAATTAATATTCATGACAGTTTGCTTGGATTGTTTTAAGTTATATTTAAAAATAAATAAATTTGGAGAATCTTTAAGATTATCTGGTAGTGCATTCCATGCTACGGCAGATCTATGAGCAAAGGACCTACGACCCAGTTCGGTTTTGGGCCTATTTAGTACAACATTCAGGGATTTACTTAGGTTATAGCTGTTAGAGTTCTTGGTCACCAAACAATTAATTTCCCACAACCCTAAATTATAATAAGCATTATATGTAATAGTTAAGATACGGAGCTTATAAAAATACTCTAAAGGCATCCAGCCAACCTTAGAAAGTACATCACTATCCTTAAAACTATTTGGTAACTTATGAATCAGCCTAGCAGCCCTGATGTGAATCATTTCTAGATCTTTAAGCTTGGGTCCAGACCCCCAAATCCCAATTCCATATAGAACACTTGGAATAACTATTCTATAGTAAAAAGTCTCCAAGATAGATGTAGATAGGAAATTTATACGTCTCAACATCTTGACTTTGGCATCAAATGCAGATCTAGCCAATGCAATATGCTGAGACCAAGAGAGTTTATCGTCAATTGTAACCCCAAGGCAATTGGTGGAGGACACATACTGAATGGTGTCCGCACCCCACTTCAGCTGTTTCAAAGGACCTATGAAGGGGGTGGTACTTAAGACCATTGCCCCGGATTTACCTTAATGTAGAATCAGTCGGTTACTAAGACACCAAGAATTAACCTGGTCCAGAACAGCCTGTAACACTGTTATGTCATCAACAGTATTCCCTACTACATATATTGTGGTGTCGTCAGCATACATATAGACTTCTCCACTGGTAATAGATTCAGGGAGGCCATTAACATAAGATGCAAACAGTCTTGGTCCCAGTAAGGATCCCTGAGGGACCCCAGCTCTAATGGGGA